ATGTCGTGGGGTTGTTAACCAATGTCATAAAACAATATGTGTACTGACTGTTTAATGAGAAACTATTTGTTCTGTAAACCTTCATCTAAAGTACAATTTAAAAAAAATTTTAGAAAAAGAAATTAAGTGGTTTTAATGAATTCAAGTTAACAAAAACCAAATCCATTCCCATAGAGTCGATTCCAACTCATAGTGATCCTACAGAACAGAGCAGAACTGCCCCATAGGGTTTCCAAGGACTGGCTGGCAGATTCAAACAGCCAACATTTTGGTTAGCAGCTGAGCTCTTAACCACCACACCACCAGGGTTTCTCAAGTTAATAGGCCACGTATTTTATAATTGATTACAGAGTATTATAAATGTAATTTTATCATACACAGCATTGATAGTTTTGAGGTAAAGTATGCACCAATTATAACAGCAAAATAAAATGGAGAACTAAAGCCTTTTTTTAGAAGCCCACCCAGCTCCCTCCATTTGCTTACAATAGTCAGATACTTGACCCCGTCTTCACTTCACTTTACATATGTCGACACAAAATTGGACCATACTGACTCTTTTGCTTATTTTTTGAGGAATGCATTCCAAGGCAAATAGCCATTTAACTTCTTCTGTTTTTCAGGAACTTCTGGGACATGCTTGGACGAATTATACTGCCATTCTTTTCACCCATGCAGAAAAAAGAGAAGAATCTGGGCTCAATGAAGAAGAATACATCCAGAAGGCCTCTGATATACTGTTAACCCTAGTAAATTCTATTCATCGCAGATGTGTTTTCCAGTATAAAAAAGAAAGCTCACTTAATGAACAAAGAATACTAATTTTAGAAAGAATCATGGAATTTATAAAAGAAAACTGTTACCAAGTTCTCACCTTTAAATAAAATTTAGATGAAAGGAAAAAAGCATTGGATTTTAAAGTCAGAAACCTGGTTTCAAAAACTAGCTCTGTTAGCATGGATGTGTACAGTCAGAACTCCCATGCACTGTTGATGAGAGTATATTGGAAAAACCGCTTTGGAAAATTGTTTGGCCATTATCTACTAAATAACATTAAGGATTCAAGATCTCTAATGCAAACCTGATGACACAGCAGTTCCATTCCTACGTATATATTTAACAGAAATATGTATGTTTGTATACTAAAAGACATGTATAAAAATATTCATGGCAGTACATAATAGCTAAAAACCTGAAACTATCCAAATGTCCATCAACAAGGACAGATAAGTAACTGTAGTATATTCACACAATGGAATATTATACAGTAATGAGAATTAGCAAACCACAACTACATGCAACAATATAAATGAACTGCCCAAACATAATGTTGAAAGAAAAATGCCAGACATCAAAGAACTCATACTTTTCTACATGTTCAAATAATCACACACATAGTACATATATAAACAAAGACATATGGGACATTTTGTCTTTTTAAAAAAAACTTTTTTATATTACATACTCTACAGCATCTTGGTGTTTTTTTCTTTCCATTTAATACTACCTCATATAAATCCCTCCAACTCTAACACGTAACTCAAGTTCATTCTTTTGTTGCATAACATTCCATGTTGCATATGTAATACTTTGTGTAACTATTCCTCTATAGAGGACATTCCAGTTTTCTGAAACCCAAAGCAGTGCTCCAGCAACTATTCTTGCACATATATTTTTATATAATAATGACTTTCTTAAAATTATATTTCCAAGAATGAGAGTTTTGGATTGAAGCATATATACATTTTAATTTTAATATATCTTACCTTTCTTTCCACAAATGGTGTAACAAATTTTATTTTCAGCAACATGAGTAGCTTTTTCCTACATTCCTACCAGAAATAGGTGTTATCACCTTCAACACCTATTGCTAACACCAGTTTGATAAACGTAAAATCAAATTTCATTGTTATATGAATTTCCCAGAATACTACTAAATTTGATCATCTTTCTATAAGCACGTTAATCATTTAGATTTGCTCTTCTATGAATTGCCTCATCACATTCTTTGCTCTTTTTTTGTCATTTTCTATTGGATTATTTCCTGCTTTGCAAATTGGAAGAACTCTATGTATATTATAGATATTAGCCCTCTGTCTGTCTTTTGGGTTGCAATATTTTCCCCAAATCTATTATTTGCCCTTAACTTTGTTTGTGGAGCCCTGATGGCACAGGTTAAGAGTTCAGCTGCTAACCAAAATATTGGCAGCTAGAGTCCACCAGCTGCTGCTTGGAAACCCTATGGGGCAGTTCTACTCTGTCCTATAGGGTTGCTATTAGTCAGCATCGACTTGATGGCAACGGGTTTGGTTGTTTTGTTTTATTTATGGTAACTTTTACCAAATTTAATTTGTGAACTTTCTTATAATCAGATATTTCTATGTACACGGCATAAGATAAGGTTTCAGATCTACTTTCTTTTAGATAGGTAACCAGTTGTATATGCTGTCTATTAAATAACTCATTCTTTTCCTATTGAAGTGGTAAGATTTGTTGTTAGTTGCCATCAGTTGGCTCTGACTCATGGCAACCCCATATACAGTAGAATGAAATGTTGCCTGGTCCTGTGCCATATTCATGATCACTGGTATGCTTGAGTCCATTGTGGCAGCATTTTGAGTGATTTCCAACTTAAAGGGCTCATCTTTCAGCACTATATAGAGCAATATTCAGTTGTGATTCATAGGGTTTTTACTGACTTATTTTGGGGAGTAGATTGCCAGGCCTTTCTTTCTAGTCTGTCTTAGTCTGGAAGCTCTGCTGAAACCTATTCACCATGAGTGACCCTGCTGGTGTTTGAAATACTGGTGGCATAGCTTCCAAAATTATAGCAAGATGCAAGCCACCACTGTGACAAACCGACAGATGAGTACTGAAGTGCTAGATAGATATAAATATATAGATAGGTATAGATGTAATCTCCTGGATCATTTTCTGTATCTATTCTGGATTCTTCATTACCTTCTATTGTCCATTTTATCTATACTGCTGTCAATGCCAGAATGATTTAATTATAATGGTTTTGTATCATTCCTTGATATCTAGAAAGGCAAGTTTCCTTTGTTATTTTTCTCTTTTATTCCAAAATATTTTCTGCCTTGCAAGAAATATTAAAAGAAGTTCTTCAGAGAGAAGGAAAATGATATAGATCAGAAACTCAGGTCCACATAAAGAAAGGATGATCATTAGAGAGGAATAAATGAAGAAACTACAGCTCTGGTTTACTGTTCTGCTTCTGCCAAATACAACTGTCAGGTCACTGGAGTCCTGGAAGACAAGACACATGAAATTGATGCAGCCATCAGCATTGTGACCAGGAGAGAGGGAGAGGATGCTTCCTGTCACCCTCTTGGTTTGACCCACAGTCTCATCCTCAATCTGTTGGTATAACCTCAGGAGAGCTTCTTCATTATCTCTAGTCACAGTACATAGTCTTTTCATTGGGACTGTCAGGGACCAGTCTGAGCCCACATTATTTGTCAGGTAATTCTGAGAAAGTAAAGACATCCTGTGGCAATGGTATGTCTTCTCCGTGTGTACGTGTGTACTACATTTTTAACTAAAGCAGTAACATCTATTAGTGAGGAATAATTCTCCAACAGCCCTTCACATCATTCAAGAGGAAAAGAACAAGGCAGGGGAATGTGAAGTATTCAGAACTCAAGTTCTGATGGTGTCCATGTCCACAAGCTGGTGTAACCTTATTTTGAGAAACTGGACTAATTCAGTGGATATGTTTAGAAAAATACATGGTGGTCATGATGATTTTTTAGTTAACGTATCAACAGAGTCCCACAGGTTTACACATAGGGACATAGCCTTGGTCATAGGACTGGAGTTGAAATGCTCTTTCTTTGGTGACACAAATTAATAATGGACTGTGACCCCAGGAATTAAGCTTCAGTACCCTATTATGGCTATAATGATGAGTGTGTTAGTTATCCAGTGCTCCAATAATAGAAAATACCACAAGTGGATGGCTTTCACAAACAGGAATTTATTCTCTCACAGTTTAGGAGGCTAGAAGTCCGAATTCAGGGTGCCAGCTCTAGGGGAAGGCTTTCTCTCTCTCTGTTGGCTCTGGGGGAAAGTCCTTGTCATCAATCTTCCCCAGGGTCTAGGAGTTTCACAGCACAGGGACCCTGGGTTCAAAGGATGTGTTCCACTCCTGGATCTTCTTTCTTGGTAGTAGGAGGTCCCTCTCTCTCTGCTCGCTTCTCTCTCCTTTTATCTCTTGTAGGATAAAAGGAGATGCAGGCCACACCCCACGGAAACTCCCCTTACATCGGATCAGGGCTGTGACCTGAGTAAGGGTGTTGCATCCCATTCTAATCCTCATTAACATGACCTAATCCTGTCTCATTAACATAATGGACCAAATGGGATCATAACCACAGGCATAGAGGGTAGGATTTACAACACATCACAAAATGGAGGATAATCAGATCACAAAATGGAGGATGACCACACAATATTGGGAATCATGGCCCAGCCAAGTTGACACATATTTTGGGGGGATATAATTCAATCCATGTCAATGAGCATATCATCATTGCTTATTAAGAATTTATATTTTTCTGGGAAAATATATACTTAGAACTCTTAAAAAAATCTTTCACAAGCATCTGAAGTTTTTTGTCTTCAGTATATATGCTGTTTTAAGAGAAAATGTTATCCTTTCATACGAAAACTGAAGGTGATGGAAAAAAATTATCTTTACCAAAATTATTCTCTTTTGCTAATGTTATTGAGAATGACTTTTAGTTTGCATTTTTCGTTAATCTTTTTCAAAGAGAAACTCAGTTGTGGTGTTGATTTTGGATGACTCCTGCACTATTCTTTCCAAATTCCCCAGGTGTGATAAGTTGAGTGGGTTTTAAATTAACAAGTATCAGCCAAATATGTAATCTTAGGGCTGAACAGTAAAGTGGATATATATATTGAGAGGATTTTCTACTGGGATGTCTGATATTCTAATGAGGAAATTACAAAAACAAATGCAAAAATTTGTCAGAGCAGACTTAATATGAAGGCTTATCACGTGAATGCCATTGGGGAAATGACCAGACATTAATAATTGCTATTTGAGCAGTTCTGTAGGCATCATATAGCAATGGAAAGGCATGAACAGTGGTTATCCCCTTCAGCAAAAGGGATCATTCCTTCTTGCAATTATTGCACCCTGGGCTTGTTTCTGCTGCTGTTGCTAAGGACAATAGCCTGCCAGATAGGAAATGATGTTGATTAAGATATAAAATAACACTTACACACATTATTTACTCAAGTATCTAGACAACTGGGAATAGTGTGTGTTATGAGGGGGGTGGAAGTTGGGAAGAGGAAGAAAAAAAAAAAAACAACGGAATACAAAAGGGTGAAAAAATACAATATACAGTAATTAATTCACCCTCTGAAATTCCAGATGGCTCATTTTCAAACCAACAGTTATTTCATTGTTCTGGGTTCTTTGTCCAAATATTTTCTGGAGTTATTCTCTTATGAATTATCTCTGCCAAGACTTATCCAAAGGAAAAACCATAACTATAAAAAGTGCAGTAAGCAAGAATGTATAAGTAAATCATTCCCAAGTTGGTATCTTAACAAGATGCAGTTTTGCAGAGGTATATTAGCCATCAGCAATTATTCTGCTTTTCATTATTATTGCAAAATTTGGGATTATCATACAAGTAGTACTAAAATAAGGTGCATCTGTAACAGTTGCCCTATAAATTATCTGTCTGTCCGTCTGCTTATGCGTCTGTCCGTTCATCTGTCCATCCATCTCTCTCCTGTCCTCCTGCCTGTCCACCTGCCTGCCTACCTAGAACTTAGTGACCTCTCTCAGGTTGGCTTCTGGACTGAACTGTCCTCAACAACAATGCAC